CCACCTGCAAGGTCATCGTGCGCATCCGCGACGTTAATGACAACGCGCCCGACATCGCCATCACCCCGCTGGCCGCCCCGGGTGTGGCAGCCGCCTCGCCCTTCGCCGCTGCCGCCGCTGCTGCTGCGCTCGGGGGAGCGGACGCGACTTCTTCGGCGGGACCCGCGACGCCAGAGACTGATGCCACCTCTCTGGTGCCTGAGGGGGCGGCGCGCGAGAGCCTGGTGGCTCTGGTCAGCACCTCGGACAGGGACTCGGGCGCCAACGGGCAGGTGCGTTGCGCCCTCTATGGGCACGAGCACTTCCGGCTGCAGCCGGCCTACGCTGGCAGCTACCTGGTGGTGACCGCGGCGTCGCTGGACCGCGAGCGCATTGCTGAGTACAACCTGACCCTGGTGGCCGAGGACCGCGGCGCGCCCCCACTGCGCACGGTGAAGCCCTACACGGTGCGCGTGGGCGACGAGAACGACAACGCGCCGCTCTTCACGAAGCCAGTCTATGAGGTGTCGGTGCGTGAGAACAACCCGCCCGGCGCCTACCTGGCCACGGTGGCTGCCCGGGACCCGGACCTGGGCCGCAACGGCCAGGTCACCTACCGGCTGCTGGAGGCCGAGGTGGGCCGCGCTGGGGGTGCAGTGTCCACCTATGTCTCCGTGGACCCTGCCACCGGGGCCATCTACGCGCTGCGCAGCTTCGACTATGAGACGCTGCGCCAACTCGACGTTCGCGTCCAGGCTAGCGACGGCGGCTCCCCTCAGCTTTCCAGCAGCGCCCTGGTGCAAGTGCGGGTACTGGACCAGAACGACCACGCGCCGGTCCTGGTACACCCGGCACCAGCCAATGGCTCCCTAGAAGTGGCGGTCCCAGGGCGCACCGCGAGGGACACGGCCGTGGCGCGCGTGCAGGCCCGGGATGCGGACGAGGGCGCCAACGGGGAGCTGGTCTTCGACCTGCAGCAGCAGGAGCCGCGCGAAGCCTTCGCCATCGGCCGCCGCACGGGGGAGATCGTGCTCACTGGCGACCTCTCGCAGGAGCCGCCCGGCCGAGTATTCAGGGCGCTGCTGGTCATATCCGACGGCGGCCGTCCCCCACTCACCACCACCGCAACTGTCAGCTTCGTGGTAACAGCAGGCGGTGGGCGCGGGCCGGCTGCTCCTGCCAGTGCCGGAAGCTCCGAGCGCTCCCGCCCGCCTGGCTCTCGGCTCGGGGCGTCGGGGTCTGCGCTACAATGGGACACGCCGCTGATCGTCATCATCGTGCTGGCCGGGAGTTGCACGTTGCTGCTGGCCGCCATCATCGCCATCGCCACCACCTGCAACCGCCGCAAGAAGGAGGTGCGCAAAGGGGGGGCCCTCCGGGAAGAGCGGCCCGGGGCGGCGGGCGGCGGATCCTCGGCTCCTGGCTCCCCGGAGGAGACTGCCCGGGGAGCCGGGCCCAGGCCCAACATGTTCGACGTGCTCACCTTCCCTGGCAGCGGCAAAGCGCCATTTGGCAGCCCCGCGGCCGACGCGCCCCCGCCCGCGGTCGCCGCGGCCGAAGTGCCGGGCTCAGAGGGCGGCAGCGCCACTGGGGAAAGCGCCTGTCACTTCGAGGGGCAGCAGCGGCTCCGCGGCGCGCATGCCGAGGTGAGGCCTTCCTTCGGCTGGGCGCCCCCCTCCGTGCTCTGGGGACAGGCTGGGGGAAGGGAGACTGGACGGGTAGGGGTGGGGGCGCACAGGTGGGTGCGTAACCTGTCGCATTTGTTTTTTTGTTTCTTGTCCGACCCTCCCACCCATTCCCCCATTCCCTGCTGCAGCCCTACGGTGCCTCCCCGGGTTTTGGAAAGGAGCCGGCGCCCCCTGTGGCGGTCTGGAAAGGACACTCATTCAACACCATCTCCGGCCGAGAAGCAGAGAAGTTCAGTGGCAAAGATAGCGGCAAAGGGGATAGTGATTTCAACGACAGTGATTCCGACATCAGCGGGGACGCTCTGAAAAAGGATCTTATCAACCACATGCAGAGTGGTGAGGACTCATCTTCCCCCCACCCCCAAATTCAGCCTTCCTCCCAGCCTCCCCTTCCTCACTGCTTGCCTCGCCTCAATCTCGGTTCCCAGTCCCCCTCCCTCCTCGCCACTTTTTCATTGCTCCATTTCCCGATCCCGGGCCTGCCTCCTAAAGTAAATTCCAAAATTCCAAGTCGAGGCAATCCCACCACTTGAATAAAGCACACGTCCATCCTATTGGGCAGCAGCCACCCCAGCTAGCCATCTAAAAAGGGAATTGTGCTTACCAATTGTTTTTGCTTCCTGCTTCCTTTCTTAACACCTTTGTGTTAAGGTGGCTTTAGAGGAAGCAAGTGCTGTTCAATTCTTGAGCCACAGCGTTCATCTTTATACGTACATACTCACTTTCCCTTTCAGCGGCCCTGACCTAGGCTGACATTCCCTAGGCCTGTGTTATCTCAGGAATAATCTTCGTGCTCTTCCCTCTTCCCTTTCACATTAGGACTGTGGGCGTGCACCGCTGAGTGTAAGATCCTGGGCCACTCTGACCGCTGCTGGAGCCCGTCCTGCAGCGGGCCCAACGCGCATCCCTCGCCTCACCCACCGGCCCAGATGTCAACCTTCTGTAAGAGCACGTCCCTGCCTCGGGATCCTCTGCGCAGGGACAATTACTACCAGGCCCAGCTGCCCAAGACAGTGGGGCTACAGAGCGTCTATGAGAAAGTGCTGCACAGAGACTATGACAGGACAGTCACTCTGCTTTCCCCTCCCCGTCCAGGGAGGCTCCCAGACCTGCAGGAGATCGGGGTACCCCTCTACCAGTCCCCCCCTGGCAGGTACCTGTCCCCAAAGAAGGGAGCCGATGAAAATGTGTAATCCCGTGCTGCATGTCTTCACACATGTACAGGTCACTCTGAGAAGCCCCTAAGTTATTGACCGGTTTCAGTGTTGTATATATAAATATGCAAGATGTGCCTTAAAATGAAGTTGTTGGAAGCTATTTCCAATCACATTGGTACTGTTTGGTATTTGCAAACAAAAATGTAGTTAATGTAATTTTTATGAAATGTGTGCAGTATTTAATTTTTCTTATCATGCTATTGACTTTAATTTCACTTGCAGCTTGCCATTTTCTTAGTGTTTTTAACCTGTACATTGTGTAATGTAATGTTTGTATATAATGAAATTTTGTTCTATTTTTATATGATAAAAGCTAAAGTGGAAGTTATTGCCAAAGGAACTGTCTATAAGACAAAAAACAAAACATGTTGGAATTACTTAATGGAAATTTGTCTTTCACCTGAAACATCCTAGTGTTTGAGAAATTTTGCCTTGCCAAGTATAACTTGTATATCTTGAGTCTGTGGTAGATTTCAAGTTCAATGTTATTTAATTACATTTGGTTTTCTGTAAACCGTGTCACCTATAAGCACAGTAATAAAGGATTTGTCATGTGTTTGAAGAATCTGCTAATTGCTTTTCATGAAGTTGCCTATAGTCAGATATTGACAAATAATTTGAGTACCAGAATGAAACCTTCCTTCAAGTGCTAATTATTTGGGCGTTATTAATGTTCATGGCAATATTAAACCCGTGAGATTTCCAGTATTGCAAAATCTCACCCAAGTATTAAAAATATTTGTTGATTTTGTAAACTATGTACATCTCCATATACATTGGGCAGTTTATAAAATTCCTGCCTTCATTTATTCACTCAATGAATATTTATTGAGCATCTACCAAAAAGTAAAGAAAAGCTAACTTTGGGTTGTTCATTTACTAATTAAACAAACATCCGCAGAACTTTTACTAGCTGCCAGTAAGTCCTCTATGGGCTGGAGTTGGAGGTGAAGAAGACATCGTCCCAAGGAGCTTGCAGCTTGTTAGGGACGTTAGTATCAAAAAGACACTCAAATTTATGGGCAAATGACATGATGCTTGGGATTGCTTTAAAATAGTCTAGAAAAAAAACAGCAAGCTATATGAAACAAGATTGCTAAAATACTAATAGTTGTCAATGCTAGCATGGGTATACGTGGGGCTGGGGTAATTTCATTAGTCTCTTTATATGTTTGTGTTTGAAAATGTACATAATAGAAGGTTTCATAAAAAGACATTTAAGAGTACCATACCTATGTCTTACACTCTATGCATTTCATTTGGCGTTAAAATGATGATAATAACAAGAACTACCATTTACTGAGCAAGCTTTTATATGAGCACAGCTCCTTACCAAGCACTCTGCGTGAATTATCTAATTTAATCTTCAAACTACCCGTATGAGATGGGAACTATCATTAACTCTATTTTGCAAATAAGGAAACTGAGGCATGAGGAGGTTAGATAAAATGCCAAAAACACATAGCTAATAAGTGATTAGGATGAGATTCAAACCTGGATTATTCAGGGCAAAAAATAAAATGAAGTGATGAAAAAAGTTGTTTTTTTTTTAACTTGGAAGAAACAAAGAGTTAGGTGGAAAAGTCCCAATGCATTGCCTTTACTGCATGATTATTGTTTAGCCCTTTATATTTGTGAAGTGCCTGTGCTCCTTTATTACTAATTATAGAGTGTGAGGCACTGTAATGAATAGAGGAGCCCTCAAAGCTGCCTGTTGAAGTCATAATTGAAACCAGTGGTGTCTTCAAGCTGAACAGCAGGGTGGGCGCACACAAGTGCTTCGCCACCCACGGCCTGTGCAAAGTTCAGCGGATTCTGCAGGCAGCAGAGCTGCACATGCGCCTGAGAAGCTCAGACTGCCCAGACCTCAGGTTCTGAAAGAAAACATTACAGCTCCAGAGTTGTGATGCCCAGGGGAGAGACTCCCCAGGTAGGCCTCCCATTATAACATCTGAAACCTTGTTCCTGAGCCAGTCCCATCAAATGCAGAGTAGAAAAATGAATAATGCAGTCTAGAGGCATCCAATCTCTGAGTGTGCTTGCTACTTTTGTCCTTCAAAAGTAAAATAATGTTATTGTCATTATTTTATTTTGTATTATACAAGCTATTTTATTACTCCAAAAATTTGGGTTTCATTTTTTTCCTTAGAGAAATGACCACTAAAAGACCTTGTCTTTGCTTGGAACTTTTAAAAATCAAACACACAATTCAGTCATTAAAATTGTTTGTTTAAGCCAGGCATGGCGGCTCACATGTGTAGTCCTAGCACTCTGGGAGTCCGAGGCAGGAGAATTGCTTGAGCTCAGTAGTTTGGGACCAACCTGAGCAAGAGTGAGACCCCATATCTACTAAAAAAAGATAGAAAAATGAGTCGGGCATCCTGGCACGCTCCTATAGTCCCAGCCACTTGGGAGGCTGAGGCAGGAGGATCATCTGAACCCAGGAGTTTGAGGTTGCAGTGAGCTACGATGATGCCACTGCACTCTACCCAGGGTGACAGAGCGAGACTCTGTTTCAAAATAAAAAAAAAATTGTTGAAACAAAAAAGGTGGTGGGGGCAGACAGCAGGAACTCTCAGAGAAATAGGGGAGGCTTTCTGCTTTTCTCCAGCAATGTTTACTCTCAGACACATTTTTAAGAAGATATATTGTTTTATTAAATTAAATGGGATAATATGTATGGAGAACACTTGGCACAATCTTTGGCCCATAGTAAGTGCCTACTACATTCTGTCCTACTTCCTCTTTCCTTGCCTTCCTTTGGAGCCAGTCTCCATGGTAATGACAAGCACAGCCCCCAGTGAGGAAAATAAAATAGACCAAGGATGCCCAGCCTTGATCTGACCCTGTTTTGCTCTCTTCACTTCTTCCACTTTCACTAACTAGTCCAGAGCCTCATGTACAGTCAACACTTCAAACAAGCACTGGTAAAGTGAATGTCACAGCAAACTCACAAGGCTTAAAAGATTGTGATGATAACACAGATACCTCTCTGGAAGTGGAGGCCAACAACCCTTGGGCACCTTGGCAGTGAGCACTGGTACATGGGAAGGCTCTTGGGGAAGATGGAAGTCACCTTGAGAGAGAAGCTAAAGCCAGATTTTACCTATTTCCCATTTTTGTCTCTGGCCCCATTGACTTAAATGTCCTATGCTTCTTCCTATAATAAAATATCCATCAAAGAAACCACCTCAGAAAGTGAAAATGTAAGTGGTTTCAACAGCTATTGAAAAATGCATTCTGAAATAGAGTAAAAACAGGATGCATGTCTCCAAATACAAATATATATGCATATGGAGAGAGAAAAAAAATATATATATATATAATCAGAGTGAGTTCTGTGCCAATTAGCTAAGTATCTGGCTGATTTCACTTGGCAAATGTAGGCTTTTATCACTGAAAAATTCCATTATAGAAAACAAGCATATTCACTTTAGTACTGGATATCCAGTAACAGGATAATTGGGATGCCGTAAGCTTTGAAAGCAAACTGAAGCAAAGTAATGCAATACGTGATGGGGCACTGTACTCCGCAACTACTCAGAAGAGCTTTGAAAATGCTGTCTTAACAGCTACGCAATAACTCAAAAGAGTGTTTATCATTCCCTTTCTTCAGAGAGAGACAATCTGCAATGGAATTTACCAACAGGTTCAAAGTCAACTAATAAGTGAACAGCAGGTAGGAAGAGACACAAGGCTATTTGAAAAGCCACCGCTTAAACTACCAGATTAAATGTGCTCTTTAGCAGAGGGGGAATCTTCATTCATTATCAGAGTCAGGATTTGTTCCCAAAAAACCTGTTTAAGGAATTTCGAACATGTCAAATTGAAGCCTGCATAGTTTAATATGGAATTAGAGAAATTCCATTTGCCAACCCAGTGTGACGCTTGGCTATATGACAGACACCTCCAACACAGCATGCCCAAATGAAAATCATCCCCTCTTCCCTGCCACCATTCTCCCCAAAACTATGCCTCTGGCAAGTGTTTTAAACTCAATAAATGGGACTGCAAATTTTAGACCAAATGCAAAATACAAAATTTTAAGACACCACCTTATTTTCTACTCCTAATATCCAATCACTTATCAAGATCTACTGTTTCTACCTTCTAAATACTGTTTGACTGTCCCTTTGTTCCATTGTAGCAGACTTGATGCTTTGCCCATGTTCCCCTGCTGAGCCCTAGGTCCGCCTCAGCTGCAGCAGACACTTCCGGTTGCACAGTGTCCACCTCGACCAGCTGTCTCTGCTGCTTGAGACTGCTGAGAGCATGGGGCCCACCTGAAGCTTGTCCAGCCTGTGCAAGAGCAGCCTAGACGTACTGGGGATTTAAGGCCTGCAGGGGCAACCCTCAACCAATGACGGACAGGAGTTGGTGGATAAATACCCCAACTTTCCCATCCCTTGGAGGAGCCATCTTGAGCCGTGTTCTCTACAGCTCCCCTGAGGGTCCCCAGGGAACGTGAGCCCCAGTCGCCCACAGCAGCCACCCACCCAGTCACATACCCTGGGATCACTTCCCACATGAACTACCTGCACCCAAGTCCTTGCTTCAGTGTCTGCATTTAGGGGACAGTCCAAATTAGGATGGATGCATAATATTAATAATAATACTATATAAGGACTGTATGGGCATTAGCTCATTTAATCCTCACAATCTTACATTAAACCATCTTATGTATGGGAAAAGCGAGGCTTAGAGAGGTGAGGCAACTTGCCATAGGTCACACAGCTAATATTGGAAGGAGCTGGGATTAAAACCAAGATCTGTCTGATACAGGCTAAAGCATACCACTTTATTTGAAGTCTCACTGCTCCTCTCCTGGGTTCCAGCACAAATCACCCACCTGTTCTCTCTGCGTTCACTACCTGTTTCCCTCCACTCCATTTTCCACACTGCTGCCGTAAAGATCTTTTTCTAAATATCCGATCTTGTCATTCTTCTGATCAACACCCTCATGACGTCATGTCGAGTTTAGGATAAAGTCCAAAATGCTGCCCATGGTGTCCCAGACCTTTCGTGCTCCGTCCCTGTCTCCCTCCCCCGTCCCGGTCCTGCTGCTGCCTTCCCTCCCTCACCCCATACATACCTGACCCGTCAGCCAGAAGGATCTGCTCTGCTGTATGTCACCTCTCTCTCCATCCTGATCCTCCCACCTGGAATGACACTCTGTTTCCTCTCCCTCTCTCCCCACCCACATTTTCTCTTCTCTGGCCCTTTCTTCTTATCTTTCAAGACTATTTAAGAATCACTTCACTAAAGAAGACTTCTGTGCCATGTCTTCCCTAAACCCCCTCCCAGGCTCCAGCCAGCACTGACCAAACAGAGGACAGCAGTTGCTTCTCTTGTCTACCTTCCCCTACTGCACCGTGCAGTGAAGGACTATCTGTGTCTTTCATTTGTATAATCCCAGCACCAGGTACACTGGCTGGTACATAATAGGGATTCAATAAAAAGGGCTTGCTGAATGGTATGATTCACCAAGCCAAGCACAAAAGGTCATGGTTACACACCATAGCCAAGGCACTCTGCCTCCGCTAGTCACACTAGTCAGG